ATGCGGTGGGGCGGGCGGGGCCCGGGCCCCCTGGAGGCGGCCGCGGGCGGGGAAGCTCCCGGAAGAGGGCCGGAGGGAAGCCGGGGTGTGGCCAGAGTCCCCGGAGGGAGCCGGGCTGTTAAGCTTGGTGTCCGTACGGGGCGGTCTCGGGGTTGGAAGCGCTGGAAGTCTGCCAGGGGCCCGAAGCCCGTTAACGGCCGCAGCCGGCATCTGTGCTTGGTCACGAGAGGGAGAGCGTGTTGCTGTTGGTCTGCGCCGGGGTTTAACCTGCGACACCTGATGATAGAAAAGTAATGTCGGGACGCGCACTGTTCTACAAAAGTACAGCGCGGATTTGCTTGCTCTTTTTTTTTTTTTTTGTTCTGGGGTCTTGAGATTGCTTAGTCTCTGCTGTGGCAAACTGCCTCAAATCCTGGCTGGAAGTTGCAGTGTCTGGAGAGTATTGCAGTTGTAGCCATCTGAGTGGTGTTCAGGGCTGCTCTGTTAGATCTGTGCTGAGAACTGCAGTACTGCAGCCCTGAACAAAATTCTGCTGCTGGGATTGCTAGAGGTGGCTGCAGGGGGTTCTCAGGTTTCCCCCCACAGCCCCATCTCAGTATGGTAATGTTCAGACCCTTACCTCACAGGCTTCCCGTGAGCACAATGCTTCTCAGTTGTTAACAAACTGTGAGTGTGTCATCCTCTGTCACTTTTGCACCTTGCTCCAGAAACAAGAAGTCATAACCTAACAGTTTTCAGACCTGAAAACAGCGAACGCATTACATACATGGACATCATCTCCCGCTGGCAGATGCATCGCGAACAATGCACCACCTTTAGAGGAAGTGAAGTAACATATACATTTCCTATATCTGTATAGATATTTCATACGTTTTCATATATATATTTCATGTATGTATTTTTCATATAAGTCTTTTTTTTTTTGGCCTTTCCTTGACTGCTGGATCTCGCTACACTCAGAGAGTCTCCAAAGGGACAAGGGCTTTAAAGTTTGCGGTGTGTCATGATGCAGGCCACAAAGTTGTAGCCGTGCTTCTGTGGCCTGCTTTTTGGCTGCTGAACACAAGGGCGTGGCTTATTGCCTGCCAACCTTCTGTCACAGCATCAAATTAGTGATTGTTTTTGTCACTGCAATCTAACTAGGCAGTTCTGAAATGTCTTTAGTTTGGTCTTATGCCATTATTTACTAAAGCTTGGTAGCAACATGCAACTACAATAGGTTTTGGGTTAGACCTCACTCAACAGAAACACACTTGAACCTTATGTAGCCCTTGTGTAGAACAGTCAGAAGATGAGGTAGTGCTACATTTGTTCACTTGTTTCTTGCAGCCACTGAAATAATGATCCATTTCCAATAAATAATACGCCCAAAGGCATTTGAGCTTGAAAATCACAGTATGTTGCAGTCTTATTTTAGAATGAACACTGCTTTCCACTGCAAAGGCAAGTGGGTCATGTACTTATGCGCAGGTCCTGAAGTATCGTTCTGACCAGAAACTGCCAGAACCAAATGCTCGAACTCCAGAGGGTGGCCTGCCTATGAGAGCAGGCAAGAGGGAAATCTGCAACTATTGATATTCTAACTGAAAGGACATGGGCAAAATATATATACAGTTTGTCTTCTTCAAAGCATTTTGTAAAAGGGGTTAAAGCTCTAGTGTGGGCAATAGGCTCAAAGAGACGTTAAAACAAAAAACACAGTTTCAGACCTCAGTTTTGCTCCTCCATAGTTTCTCATTGGAAAGGCATGTTTTATAGGCTGCAATTAGTGTACTGTTTGTATCAAGAAGTGTTTCATTTCAGGTAATGCTTTGGTTTGTATCAAGATGTTTTCACTTCATGTGTGTAAGTAAACAAGGACCTAAGTGGGAGGAAGATACTTTCTGAAAGAGTGGAGATTTCATCCACTGCCTTGTGTGAAATTGTATGAAGTTCAGGGAATCGCACTATCTTCTTATTAAATGATTGGCCGAAAGTCTGGCCTTTGATTGGCAAGTCATATATCTCATTGTAAAAATAATGGATTATAAAGTTTAAGCAGTTAAAAGAGGATGAAAAATTATACCAGCACTTTGAAGATCACGTGTTCCTAAAGGTTTGCAGCAGGTGAAAATGGAGAGGGTGGAGGAGATGTACATCCCTGCCAGCTGGGGGAAGTATATTGGGACTCCTTGGCTGTCACCACAGCCTGTTGTTTCACCGTGACTTGCTGTCAGGAAGCAGCAGAGGGGAACAGCAGCAGACCAGGTGGAGGAACAGGGGATGCAGAGTGTGATTTGCATCTGTGTGCAGTGGCATTAAGTTTGAGAAAGAAGGAGGTGGCAGCTGTCACCACAATCTGCCAGCCTCCAAACAGGCCTCTTGGTTAGTGAATGGTGCAGCCACAGGTTGAAGGTCTCAGTTCTGCTCTTCCTTGATCTCATGGTGAAGTCAATCAGTCGGCGTCTCTGAATGTGCCCCTTTGATGCCTATATTCTTGGTGGACCCTTGGCATGGGCTGATGAGCTGCTGTTGCAGCCATCCCTGTCCATACTCCGTGCTCCTCTGGGATGTGGTAGTTACACTTGCAAGCATAGGTGGCATCCCAATCCAGCTAAACAGAAAACAGGTTCCTTGTTCCTGCACCTTCTGTGTTAAAGGGAGGATAGGACTTCACTTGCAGGGGCGTTTGCAACCAAAGAGCAGGGGATAGCAGAAGTAGGATGAAATGGCTTGTAGGAGGCATGGGCAGCAAGGCTGCTGAAACACAGACTGTCTGGCTAAGAGCAAGATACCCAGGAGAGCTCTCTTCCCCACACAGTTATCGTGAGCCCAAACCTGCATGAAAGAAAATGCCCCTGTGTGTGCCGCGTGAGCAAAATATGGGAGCCCAAAACCTGCAAGGAGTGTCTGGAGGGATAGCAAGGGTGAGAACACAGGGCTTTAGCACTGCCTGTTGTTTCCCCAGGCTGATGCCATGCAGGAATGGCCAAGAGTTACAGGGAGATGTGCCAGACCAGCATGCATGGCCCCTGGGTTTCTCTCCCTGCTCCCTCATTCTGCTACTCAGGTGGAGGATGTGGTCCTCTTCTGTTGCTGTTTCCAGGTTTGTCCTTCTCCTGAGGGGCAGTGCAAAGAGGCGAAGGAGGTGGAGGAGTGCTTGAAGCCATCTTTGCCATCACATTTTTCATCACCTGGTCAAACCACAGTCCTTTTACAGCAGTAAATCATTAAGGTATTTCCATCTTCCTCTACAGTGAGCTGTGAAAACAGACCTGCTTGGCCCTTTCTTGCTGTCTGCTGCTGCACGTCTCGCACCATCTGCCTTTGCCAGTGAACTGTGGACCTCTCCCTGCTCCCTCAGGGCTTGGCTGCTTTGCTCAGCTTTCTGCCTCTTCACACATTCTGTTCACTCATGCAGATATAGGCTGCTTGCCTGCAGTAGCTGTCACTTTACATGTAACATCAAATTAGCTGCCCTAACCATGCCCTGTGCTGCACTGGAATAAAGAAAATGAGGGAATCTCTGAAGAGAAATGGCTCTTTGTGATTTTGCTGTTTCAGTAGAGGGTCATATGCCTGATCAAAAGAGCCTCTCTTGACTGAGGGAATTGCTTTGTCCCACGTGTGAGATGTTAAAGGCTTCTGTGAGTGTGATTTCACGTGTGTAGCAATGCAAAAGTTCTCTGTCATAAAAGTGAGTTTCAACATAGCCATTCCCAATTTCATGCGATTTGTAGGCTTGATACTCCTTATCCTGTATCCTGGCACATCTCCTTCTCCATGTGGGTTGCTGGAGCCAGTCCCACTGCATTGCAGGTTTGGGAATAGATGTCTGGCTCCTCTTTCCTGGGTTAAGTTTCTTAGGAAGTGGGGATAATAAGCCTGGCTGATATTTGTTTCTCACCTTGCAATGACATGGAGATTCTCCAGAAAGTTGTTTAGGTGGTGATGATGTGCCTCGAGCTGTGGATTTTCACAGGGAAATACCCAGAAGTCTTCCTGGAACTTAATGGTTCTTTCATCAGCATATCATATTTGATCAGACGATGACATATACGAAGTCAAGCAGGATCAGGAAATGCTTGTAAAAGGCTGCAGGGTGTCACCAAGAGGTCAGTAATTTTAGTTGCAATTCATGCTATGTAGACTCTTTCAACCAATGCTGACAGCTTGTTTTCAGCCAGCAAATGGATTTTAAATAGAATCTGTGAACTACATCTTGGTGGTTTGCTTGGTACTGCTTGCTTCAGTCTTGCTGCAGCATCTCTGAACCAGTTTTAAGATACCATAAAGCATATCTTGACTTTAAAGTTTCCACACATGAGGTTCCTTTTGTCCTTGCATAATGTGTAGCCGTCTCCCCTCCCAGCATCCTGAGGCTTCTGGGTTGACACAGAGACCTACTGCAAGTAGGGGACCTACCTGTTGTCCTACTGCAAGGGCAGGCACCTCGTTCGCAACTGGGATACTGCTCATGTGTTGAGGCACTCAAGAGTGCGACACCACAGTACACAGTACTGCTGAGCTTAAGTCCTTTGAACATATTTCCAATATTCCTAGTGCTTCGGACCGTACGACATTCCAAGATAAGCAAGTAAAGGAAACTCAAAAAATCCAGACAGAGTCTAGCCATGACTTTGAACGGTGCTCCTTTTCCCGTTGCCTTTCTCTGTAAAGCAGCAATGTAGAAAGAAAGTAGCTTTTACCACTAGATGGCATTTAAGGATTGTTTTTTTTATAATGCCCTGAAACTGTCCTGAAAACTGCCTAACTAGGCAAAATGATGGAAATCTAACCTAAGTTTCTTCCTTTCCACATGCAATTTGTGCTTGGGCACACAAGCAAGGTACTGATGTAGAAGCACAAAAACAGGGCTATAAAGTTTACTTAAATGAGCTGTGGAAGCCTGCCCTATGCTCCTCAACCTCACCAAAGTTTTCTTAAAGAGCAAGCAAAAGCAGTGCATGCAAAAAAATAGCAAGTCTGAGCTTTGTTGAATCAACTGGTGCTGGAGACAGCCACTGAAAATGGCTTGTTGCTGTGCCTTGAGATGGTCTGATCTAAGGGCTGCCAGCACAGTAATAGAACAAGGCTTGCCTGTTGCCTCTATAGTAATTGGTACCCTAGAGTGAGTGAGGCACCTGCGTCGAAGAGACAGTCAGCTTCTCTGTACCCTTCTTAGGAATCACTGCTGCTGGCAGATATCCGTATCTCTAATTCCGTAGAGTGAACAGACACCTTAACATAGGTGCCCAAGTTGCTCCCAAGTTGGAATGGTCTTCTCAGAACTTGTTATTGATGTTAGCTGCAGAAGAATAAATATGGATGCCCCTGTCTTCCTGTACAAGCAATAGCATTGCCTGTATTTTCTCATTACCCACTGAGCAGCTCATCTCAAACAGCACATGCACATACAGAACTGTTGCTGTGAGTCACTGTCCACCTGCTAGCAGGGACAGGTCACAGAGGCAGCACCAATCTAAACTCCTTGGCTTAGATGCTAACTCAACTCCGGTCCCACATTTTGTAAAGGCTATTCAACTTTTTTCCAGTGACATAAAGCTGTCAAACATCTGGTGTCTTCACTTAGTGATTACAAATAAACTCTGACAACTTTGCTCAATTGCAAAGGCAAAAATAGATTAATGCAGGCAAGAGTCAGAGTAGTAAACGTAGGCTGTTCTCTGAAGACAGAAGAGCTCAATACCAGGGGTTCAGGCTGCAGATCCAAGAAAGAAGAACATCTGCTGCTAATGATGCCAAAATTACTGCAGCTAACTTCCTCTGGAATGCTACAGCCTCCTTTAACAAGGA